TTTTTTTTTTTTTTATAAATTGATGCATTAAAATGATTTATAAATTTGAATGGGCTGGGATAGCCTGGTAGGTTGGGCTCATGTTTGTGAGAAAGGGAGTTCCTCCAAATCCATGCATCTGGTGGTACTGAATTGGAGATTGATCATTTTCTGTTTAAGGTCAAAGTTAGGATATGTGGATGAATGGAGTTATGATTGGGTTCTTGAAAAATTCGCTTGAGTTCAAGCAGGATTGCTGGTATAACAACATAAATTTGAATAAAACTTACAATTAAAGTTTTTATTGGAATAAGGTGGAATTTTTCAAAAATTACAAAGGATAAGTTCCAATACTTAATATTGTTTTAAATATCCTATAAAAGTTGTGTAGAAAGTAGGTAATCAGATTTAAAACCAAACAATATTTTCACTTTTTTCTTCTTTTTAATATTTAGGTAAAAATAATTAAAAATCTCTAAGTTAAACAAAAATATTAAATTAGTTATAGCACAGTTTTCTTAATTCTTCTTCGGATATTATTACAAAGCTTCAAAAATGGTCACTTTAAACAATTCCACACTTTTTCCCTTTAACATAGTTATTAACCAATGCTTCTTTAAAAATATAAGTTTTTTAGCTTTGTCATAAAAACTTACTTTAATATTTAAATGTTGCCAAAAATAAAAATTCAATGTTCATTGAAATTTAATAAAGTCCATAATTTTAATGTTTGAAATGAGGAGAGATTGGAAGAGACATGGGAGCGACAAAACACTACAAATAATATGCAATATGCTTCCAAACTGTTCATAAATCAATAAATTTTACCATAATTAGAAAAAATATTTTATAATTAACAGTTATTATCTTTTAGAAGGAATTCTGAATTTTTTGTTTAAAAAAGGTTAAAACATTTATACCTTGTTACTTCAGGTATAAAATTTTAACAAACACACATAAATAAAAAAACATTTATAATAAATCTAGTTCAAAAGTAGTTATTCTAATAGGAATGGATACAATATTATGGACTACACAAGAATAAAAAGTTGGAACATTTCACAGGATTGATAAAGCAAAATGAAAACTAGGAATAATGGTCACAGTTTAAAAACATTACTGCAAGAATAAAAATAACTAATTAGTATCATAAATATCAGTAGAATAAATTTGTATGACATAAGGATTCAAACAAAATTAAAGGGAATAATAATATAAATTTACCTCATATAGAAAGCAATCACACTTCAATTATTCTTCGACTAAGATGAACCAATACATATTTAGTACCGCTAAATTCATTAACAAACAACTTAAATTTAAATTTTTCAAAAAAAAAGAATTTAAAACATAAATGCTAAAAGCTGGGTGTACTTATTATCTTTTGGAACAAAGAGAAGAAAACTATTTTAATCATTTCAATAAACACAATTTTCAGAAGTAAAATAACTATAACTTTTAAATTAGAAAAATAATAAGATCAGCAATCTAGTGTTTAAATATCCTAAACTTGTTAAAATAACTTCTAAAATTTAAAAAAGGTATTAATAAAAACTATAATAACCAATAAAAGTTTTTATAAAAATAAAGTGATTGAATAATAATAAATGTAATTTAAATAAGAATGAAAAGGAAACAAAAAGTTGCTAGAACTAATACTTGAAAATTATTCATCAAATGTAATTTAAGAAGTACTAATTATACAGCAGTTAAGTTGAATTTTATTAAAAATACAAACCATAAAACTATTGAAAGTAAAAATATAATACTTTTATTACAAAGGAAATTCAAACAATTCATATGAAAAAAACCTACACAAAAGAAAATTTCGAAAAGTCTTTAAAATAACTAACATAATTTAAATTGCAAACTATTTTAATGTTTTCAATAATCTACAGAATGAACATTAGTTTCAAATGTTGCCCATGAAAATTTATTCCAATAGTATTACTTCTTTTGAGCTTCAAAAAATTTAACACTATGCTATACTCTATAAGTCTTGATAGTATTTAGTTAATAATTAGCTGAGATGAATTACTAATTAAAATAACACATTAATTAATTTGAAAAAACATTTCAAATAACCAGAAAAAAAATGCATACAATGTAATATGAGCAAACAAACAACTAAGATCAAATAATTACAGTAATTATAAAAATCATAAAAAAAGTAATTAAATAATGCATGCTTGCTACACATTTCTAAAATACGACAGCACAGGAGAAAAAAGTTTTAACAACAATTTCAATTAGCATATTTCTTTTTAAATACTGAAATGCAAAAAAATAATAATGAAGAAATTGAAATCAAAATGTTTCAAAATCAATTTAAAGACTATCAATGTAGTTGAGTCATTCTACAAAAAATCTGCAATCTGACAACTTAGATTTCCAATTTTAAAATAATAAGATAAATTCCTCAAGAACAAAAAATTTGAGTTTTATTTCTAGTGTTTAAATACTCCTGATATATGTTTCATAGAAAATCTCAATATTTTTGTTTTAATGAGCTATAAAAGTAAAGGTTTGGTTAAAACTGAATGAGTATAGTATGCCGAATAAAAACTATAATTTTAAATTTTATAAAAATTATAGAGGTAATGGCACGACATTTACAAAAGTAAACACAATCCAGTCACATTAATGTGACTACCTGTCAAAAGCCAGAAGTGAGTCAATCAGGTTCTTAAAGGTGCGCACTAGGATGTTGAGTTATGCCAAAAATACATCGCTTAAACTGTAATGCTCCAGTCTGGCCCTTTCCGGCAATTGTTGCGGGGTGTTTACTTTCAGAGGTTTCACGCTGTAAATGCCAGCACCCATCAGTCAGATGCTGCACAAAACAAGATTCATCAGAAAAAACCACTCAGTGGTCTGCTGCTCAGACCCATACACAGCAACGTTCCCTAAACTGTTGTTGACAAGACATTGTTGGTAGCCCCTTAGTTGATCTGGGTCTATTCACCCAAAAGAATTTTCGCAGCTGTTGTTCCCCTCTGTCATCAATAACCTGTGCTGCACACTACATTTGCCATGTTGTTGATTTTGGACAGTGCCATTTTGCCTTGCATGGTTACTTTTACCATGGCAGCACACAAACAGTTTACAAAATTAGAAGTTTTGAAAATGCTTCCATCCTTGACCAGTAAGTCAAAAGTAAGTGGTGGTTACATTAATATGACTGGGCTGTGTCTAAATAATAAGTACTTACAATGGTGTGTAAAAATCTCTGACCATTACATTTTTTCCAAAATTTATTTCAGCTTTAAGCTGCTTCGACGTAAAATGCTACATAAAACTTCTAAAAGATGAAAATAAAAACTATACTACACTGAAAACAAAATAGTTTTGAAAAACAATTATTTTTCATTTTAATACTTTATTTAAATCAAATGAAAATAACAAACTGACCACAGAATTATGCATGTCATGGTATACTGTGGATGTATTGTGAGAAGTAAATTGAGTGGAATAATTCTCTATAGATTTTAAAATTATTCCACACCACTCATTAAACATACCTAATTTACTTCTCGGCTAACATTGAGAGTAAGACTTCCATCTTGTGGACATTCATTTTTTTTACATATCCACAGAAGATAAAAATGTATATTTCAATTTTCCTTCATAATATATTTTCATTTCATTTTATTTTGTAAAATTTCATAAACTTTGAAATCATTTACAATGATAAAAATTAAAGGAAATGAAAACAACACAAGATTATATTTTCAGGAGCAAGACTAGGATAAGAACAAGTCGGAAAATACATATCAACACAATTTGTGAAAAATAAATAAAAAAGAGTTTGAAACAATTTTCCACAAATTGGAAACATTTAAATTACTTATATACTTATTTAAAGTTTCTTTTTCTTTCCCTAAATGTGTACACTGACAATCTAACAAGTTGTGAAACTTCATATATAAATCATAATTAAAGAGTAAAAAATAATAACGTAAAACAACAAAATAATGTAGAAACATTAAGAATTCTTCTAAATTTACGGAAGTCTGAATTCTTGCCAAAAGTTGGAAGAATCTGATGCCTGTACTTGAAAGAAATTCTAAATTCTATTTCCGGGACTTATAAGAGAAAATTTTAAAAATACCTCAACAATTATCACAATTTATCCTTAGAAAGATGAACAATCATATGCCGTTTCAAAGAATTAATTTGAGTAAAGCTTTTGCTACACATCTTGCACACAAATGGACGCTCTCCAGTGTGAGTTCGATGATGATTTCTCATATTAGACAGTAAATTTGTACTGTAATTACAGTATGGACAAACATGCACAGTCCTCCTACTTTTAGCTGTTGAAGTTGAAAGTTTCTTATTTCCAGAATTAAACATAACAAAAGAACCTGAAATAAAATCAGTTATAAATTTTTGTCATCGCAAAGAAAATGCAATCAAACTAACGAGGAAAAAATGCAGAAATTATGAAAAAAAAGTGAAAATTATGCGGTACATGAATATAAAAAGTTTTAAATTAAAATTTGAAGCTTGTCATAATAAATTGTAGATTTAAGACATTTTTATAAATCAATCTTACCTAAACAAGCCATGTCTTATTTATCTTTTTTATTGCAATTTCATAATAAAATGATCTTGCAAGGATATTGCAGACATTGCATAAATTTTAAAAGCATAATTCGCACACATAGTACTAACAAATAGCTGAAATAATTCAAAAATTACTACTACATATTATAGTATCTTTTCTAGAATTTTTTATTGAAAACTATTCATGAATTGCATGAAAAGCAACAATAATGATAATGGAGATAATAATACTGAAAATCAGTATAATAGTGCAACTTAAAATAGTCAGTATAATAAGGAAAACAGTATAAAGTGCAATTCAAGATTAGAACAGATTAAATGATGGAATGAAGTGTTGGTCACACACACCTGAAATAGTGGCATATATAAGTATGTCTGGCACATGGATGAAGATAAATAATGAGTTAAAAATGTGGCCATGTACAGAGACAGCCTGTAGCAAAAATTACAAAAAAACTAAAGCAGATTAACCTGCTATGGTGCATGTCAGGAAACACTCACCTCAAATAGCGCAACAACATAAAGATTCATTAACATAAAGATTCATCACAAGTCGTCTAAATGACTTTGGAAACAAGTCCGACATCGATACGAGACAATGGATAGTTTCCAAAAAGGAAAGTTGGCTATGAATGCTGCACCCTGTTTTGATTGAATCTCAGCAAATGTAATGACCAGCAATATTGAACAGATGATTCCCAGTAAACAAAGGAAAAGAAAAAAGACGAACCATCCACAAAGATTTGGGTTTGTGCAAAATCTTATTCTGCCCTCAATAAAGAAATGCGACAACTGTACATTGATTGATTTTAAAAGAGGTTAATGATATTAAAAGTGTATTGTTGGTAACTAATAGTAGATTAAGGATGAATAAAAGTATTTTATTTTTGTTTTGTTTTATGCTTTCATTCACCAAACTTTTAAGATACACCTTGCATGTTGAAAAAAAAAAAGAAAATCACAAAAAGATGTCATTACAATGATATATACTTCATAGTTTAGAGTGAAACATATAAAATAAATTTGGTGTATTTTTTCTGTATAAAAAAAATCAATTGCCTGACATTTTTCCAAATTGTAAAATAAAATGTTGAATGTTATTGTATATCATTTATATAATTTCAATAATTTAAAATCTTATTGGCACAGTAAAAAATAAGAGATAAATTTAAAATTGAGATTAAAAAACACTTACAAGTTTTCTATAATTTAAATCAGTAAACAGGTAACACACTTAACTTTTTGCAGACTGCTCATACAATAGTTGTACTCCTAAATCTTTATTTATATTTATATACATAAATACAAAAGTATTTGATGCATGATAAACAAATATTAAGTTCTTGTGATACAATATTTGTTTTGTCCTCAAAATAATATTTCTCTCAACATAACACGTCTCTTATACATCGAATGCTTTTAGAACATTTTTAAAAAAAAAAGATAAAAGAAAAAGACTTAGACTACTGCTGTTGCACTAGCCCTCTACAAAAGGTTAAAACCTAATTTTATTCAGTGTCTTTAAATAACACTGACAGTTTTCAGAGCTTGATAAGTTCATTTGTGATACAGAAATATGAGCTTGTTAATTTGTGGGGGGGGAGATAATGCTTAAAAAAAATAAACTCCTCAATAAAAGAATATTATTCTCAAAAAACAATTCAATGTTAAAATCATTTATAAAATATTCTATTAACTTAAATAAAATTATGAAAGCAGTTATTAATCCGCAATGAAGATTAGTAATTATTCATAATTAATAAGGTCAAGAAATAATATCTAGTGGTTATATAAACAGCCACAACAATTATTATAGATAGTAATCAGCTATTGTAATAATAATAAATTGTCTTTAAAATTATTCTATAGACTAAACTTCATTAGCAAATATTAATATAATAATCAACCACAGAATGAAATTTTTTTAAAAATTATCCATTTCAAACAGTTTTTTTAATTATTATAAATCATCAATTACTAAACATAACATATATATTTAAAACAAAATAGACATAAACTTAATGAGAATCTCATTAAAACAGCTCTAAGATTACCACAAAAATATTATTTTTCCTTTTTATAGTCATTAAAGATCTTAGTTATCTTTCCAAAGTTATATTTTTTAAAGATGGAATAACAGGGAGTAAAAATTTAATAATCTAAAATAATTAACATGAAAGTAAAAGTCAGGATCCCATAAAAAAAATTTTAAAAAACTTAGAGTAATAGTGAATGAGGCTTTAGGCATGTGGTTCAGGTTGAATAGCAATCACAAAATAATGAAATATACAAAAGGTCATTTAAAATACAGTAAAAACTTACAATTAAAAGAAGGCATTTCCCTCAGTTATTCAAAAGATCAAAATTTCATTTTTATGTCATTTTAGAAATATGTTTTTAATAAGCTTTCAGAAAATTAAAAAAATAATTTTTTGAACACAGGATGTTAATCAAGAATAAATATTTGTTGACAACATATGAACTTCAAATTTTCAACATTCAATTATCTTTCCTGATATTTATCAACAGAAAAAAACTACATTATTAACTACAAATTCAATTAATTATTTAGATGCCAAACGTATTTTTTCAAAACTAAGCAACTATGTTCATCAAAATAAAAACTAGACAGTTGTAGTTATTTAATTATAATCAAATACTAAGTTATTCAATTATTGCCATTGTCTATAAATACCTTAACTAAAAATGGATAAAATAAACAAAAATGTAAAAAATTTAGAACATTAGTAATCCAATCACACAACAATTATTTATTAAAAAAACACAACATAAAGGTTTAAATTTTAATTAATATAAGTGCATGTTTTTAAAGTTCAAACTAAAAAGATTTATAGAAAATTAAAATATCAATGTATATATGATTAATTTATGCTAACACATTGTATGATGCAATAAAAGTGAGTTAATTTAATAACAATATAGTTATTTTTAGTTATAGCAACTGCTAATAATAAGATATTTTAAAATCTAAATATTGCATATAGTTACAGTAAAAATACAAATCTAATTCTCATATATCAATCTCTTAAACAGGAACAAAGCCTCTTTTAATCAAAAAAAAATAAAAAAATAAAAAAAAATTTAGTGGTTAAAAATTTTCCTCGCCAACCCTTTTTACTTAAATGTGCTGAACTGTTAAATAAAACTTAACACATAACAAGAAAAAATGCTTTAACTATAATAAATATAACAAACGCTTTATTGTGTACCCTGAACACATTTTGAGAAAGAAAAAAAAAGAGATCAATGTTGTAAAATACATTATATTGAAATGTATTTTATGTAGTATGTGTTTTACAATTCTATATTATAAAATTTTTACCAAAAAAATTATTAAACTAATATAAAAAACAAATAACAAAAACTATTCAATGATTATACATTTTTTTATGCTGGTTCAGGAAATGAATAACTCTAAAGCTTTTGTTGCAGATTTTACATACGTATGGTTTTAGGTTGCTATGGATATGCATATGGTAAGTCAAGTGATGTTTTTGTCTAAAAGTCTTACAGCACAAACAACAGCAATAGGGTCTTCCTTCAATCAAAGATTTTGTATGAGCCGTCATTAATTGAATGTCTTCAGAAGAATAACCACAATATGTGCACACGTGACTTTTTTTTCGTTCGAACTGAGATGTGTGGGGTTCATTAGTTTCAAAGTACAAATCTATGAGAGAAAAGAAAATAGAGAAGGAATTTAGTTTCTCGATAAAAATGTAAAAGTCATAAAATCAACTGAAGGCCGTAACAGATTTTCAAAAAAAACTTACAATTATTAGGCTGAATCAGATATTATAAGATAACAAAATTATTTATCGTTCTTTATAATAAAATTGACTAAAAAATCTATTGATAAACTCAATTTTAATCTTTGTCATTCCAAATGTAGTTTTAAGCCAATTCTAGAATTAGATAATTTATTAAATATATATATATATATATTAAATATGTCCTGAGCACACGAGGTCATTTAATTGTCCATGGACACGATAAAAAAAATAATTAATAAATAAAAATATGTCCTTCTTATCACACATGGGTCTTTTTAGCATTCACATTTTAATAAAAATTAAACATTCTAATCAATTAAAGAGCTAGATGGATGATTCTTAATTGCATATTACTGAGTTTTGGTCAATAGGCTTTATAAGTTGGCAATAATAATTAAAGACTATTCTTTGCCTTCTATTTTTTATGCCCCTTTTGGCACGTTAATTTGCTGCCAAAAGACAGACTTTCAAAGGCTACATGTCAATCGTTTGTTCGTTACTAAATAATACACTTGGAATCTTCTTTCACTCCAAAACTGTCGCTTAATACTTATATTTATACTTAAATCTGCTCTTTAAAGATAAATGAAAGATGTATTGTTAAATAAAACCTTCTCTGAGAAATCACAAGTTTTTTTGAAAATACCACTTGCAATTTTTTTTTCTACAAAGCTCTTTAATTATAGTAAGCTAAAAAAAAAAATTCTATTTTTTTTAACCCTTTGCTTACAACTTGATAGTTTCTTGCAGCGATGATGGACCAGAACAATAGGAGTTATCATGCTAAGTGCCATAAACAAAGGGTTAATACTGATAACTGAAAATATTATGAGTTGAATAATAGAAGAAAAAAACATAGTTAATTTAAAGACAAGATAAAATTCAAATGTTCAGCTTGAGAATCTTTAAAAAAGAATGTAATATTAAATGCACAAAATGTAAAAATGGATGTTTTCTCACATTTTTATTACACTTATCAACAAATACAATTAAGAAGATTGAAATACATGTTCAAAAAATAAATATTAAAAATTTTTAATTTTATGTTGGGTTATAATTACTGTACAAAAAAGTAAAAGATTAAACTTGTCTGCTACGAAATAACAATCCAAGTATCACTTAGACACATTAATAATGACAATCCAAAAAATTAAATTAGGTACACTAAAAGCACAGCAATTCATCTAATAAAATCTGAATCCAACATTATTTATCTAGAAAACCATGGTAAATTAATTCATCCAAAATCTAGGGATAGATTTAAGATTTAAACAAACTCAAAAACTTAACTTAAAAATAATAGATAAAACTTAAAAAATTTCATAAATGAAAAAAATATAATGTAACAAAAAATATAAGTTCATTCATTAACAGGTAAGATAGTTAGACTCTATTAAAATGCTAGATGTATATATTGAAAATTATAATGTTCAAAACTTTTCACCGGGAACTCCCTATTTCAAAAGAAAATTTTGAACTGTTGGACAAGAAAAGGGGGAAAAGTCTTCTAGTTTCCTATCAATACAATTTTAAAAAATAATGATTACTTACAGTTTTCTTTTCACATGTTAAAAAGAAATAGCTTGAATAAAATTTATAACCAAATATTTTACTGCACCCTATCTTTAATTATTTTGCCATCTTTAATTACACAGAGCTAAAAGCATTCAAGAATAGTGCAAGGCATATTTCCCACATTTCCTTACCAAGGCTTGGATCCAATTTTTCTATTTGGTTCACCTTGGAGAAAAAGCTTTAGGCATCCTTATATAAACCTCATAAGATTTTGACATCACTGATAAAATTCTTTTAAAGAATGGGACAAGTGAGTTTTGATCCGTAGAAGAAAATTTTGTGAAAAATTTATAGCTCTGCATTAAGGCTTTAATGTAGCTCTTCTTGGACATCAGAAGGTTAGCATAAAAAAAAACAGACTTGGTGACTCATGATGCTTGAAGACATAAAACAAAACAAAGGAGACCAGAACAGTGACCAAATGACCTTCAATTAAGCACCATGATATGGGCCTTATATATCGACTGACATTGAAAGATCAAAGATGAAGTCTTTGAAAATTTGCAAATATGTTAGAGGTAGTAATGCTTTTATATTTAATTTGTAAGTTTGGTTGTGACATTCCAATAAGATTAAATAATTTTTTTTCCTAGGTATCCAAATAAATTCTTGTCACGCTGTGAAAATACCATATTTAGCTGGGGGGGGATTTTAATGCCAAACACTGTTCAAAAAATTTCGCAATTATATTTTTTTTTTTAATTAAAAAAAAAGTTTTTATCAAAATTAAAGTATACTAAAAATTTAGGAGCCAGATGATTTAGCCTTTACTTCAAAAGATCAGATGCAATATTAAATTCAACTTATCTATTCATTAAGGTATTAAATTAATAACTTAACTCCTTGTTAACGCATTATCTCGTTATAAAACGTTAAATTATCTGCAATATGCAAAAAAATTAAATCAGTTGTAAACATTAAAAATTTCGTTTTCATTCCACCTCATAGATTTATGGATAAAATTGTATCTCACTTTTATTCAAAAATAAAAATATATAAGTAACTAAAACTTAAAAAAAAAAGAATTATAGAAGCACTTAACCACTCATTATTATTTAACCTTTTCATCCCCATTTGAGAAAAATATTTAGGCACACAAATATATTTTACTCTTCAAAATGTGCCAGCAGTTTCGACATATAAGACTTTTCTGGCATGCTTGACATAAACAAGGGCCTGTCTAGGCCAAATTTACTACCGTTTAGCAGTACCTTCACAAAATATTTTTTCTTAAAATTTTATTTTTTTATCCCTTAAGATAAATCTATATTTTTACCATATTTTGATGTTGATTTTTTAATACAATTTTCACAAATTATGTCTAAATTTTCACAACTCTCAGAAAAACCTAGACAAACCCCTGATAAATGATATATCACGAAAAGGCAAATAATAATTAAAAAATATCATTCATATATAATAAAAATCTCACATATTTAAAGACATTATTTTCACAATATTTTTCTGAGCGAATAATTGTTTCAAAGCAATTTTCTGTGCTCATAAAAGAATAATATATTATATATATATATATATATATATACTATATAGTGTAAAGTTGCATATCCGGAATCGGTGGGACTTCCAGAAGTCCGTATAATTGACCCCCAAGGTAAACAAAGCTTAAAATGATCAAATAAACAATCTGAATCTAAGAAGCAAAACATAAATAAACATTATTTTTAAGGGGAATAATGTTTTAGTATTAGAATATCTAATCAATCAAATATAAAATATGTATTAGACAATAAAATATTATTGCTAAAAATATAGAAAATGAAAATATTAATCCGCCATTTTGAACTAGAACGATTCAAGCAGGAAGGGGTAAATCATTTCATTCTGGAACAAAGCTTAAAATGATCTAAATCTATGAAGGAAAAAGAAATAAACATTATTTTTAAGGGGAATAATGTTCTAGTATTAGATCATCCAATCAATTAAATATGAAATAGTAGGGGAAAAAAATTATTGCTTAAAATATAGGTAACAAAAAAAAATTGACAGTTATGAAAATAATAATCCTCCATTTTTAACTAGAATGATTGAAGCAAGAAAGGGAAATTCCTGTCATTCATTAAGGTGGGTAGGTGGAGGAGAAAAATTCATTTCCTCCTTATTTGTGAAAGAAAATAAGAGTAGAGAGGAGATCATTCAAGTTGAGGGTGGGGAAGTGACAAATTATTGTTTTCTCTCCAATTATTGGCTATCAATCAAGCATAAAGGTGGGGCACGCTGATGGGGTTCTCTTGTATGACTGAAAGAATCTGCTAAAAAAAGAATGTTACCCCCTTTTTCCCCCGCCTCCTAAATATTACATGGTCAGGGGAAGAATGAATGTTTCTCAAGGACATGTATCCTTTTAGATCTATTTAAATGTTCCATTTTGACTCCCCCTCCACGTTAATGCTTGCAGTGTTTACCCTTTTCTTTCAATAAAAAGTTTCCAGGAAATGCCTCTTTTACTAGCCAGCTGCATAGGAAAAGAGAGGAGAGGGGACAGTTGTGGTCTTTTGAAAACAAATCTCCCTCTTTTCTTGCATTACAGAGTAGGAGCGTTGTTAAAGGTCACTCAATGGTCTTGGTAGATCTTCTCTTCCTCCCCTCTGTGATTTATGGGTTCAATGCATAAATCAGGAGTTCAGTGCAAGCTAGAAGAGAAAATGTGTCAAAAGACCTTTTTTTTTTTTTTTAAGAAAGGGGAAGATGAAGAGATGTTTGTTTATTTTGACTGTTAAAAAGAGTCCGGGAAATCATCGATCCTTCCGGAAAAGGGACGTCCGGATATGAGACGTTACACTGTATATACCTGAAAATCTCTTTCGCTTGACATTCAGAAAATTATTTCATTTTTCAAAAACACACAACTAAATTTTGATAAGCTAATTAAATGTTAATATGATTTAACAAATGGAATACACATGAGTAAAACTTCATTTAGATAGTCGGCACACATATCAAGGAAAAAAAATACCCCTTGAAATCTTGTTACCTTGACATTAAAAACATTTGTATCATAATACACATCATTAATTTTGATAAGTTATTCAATTATTAATATGCGTTATCATGTGTCGTTTCAAGTGATTAACTTGAGTAAAACTTTTGTTACATATGCTGCACACATACGGACGTTCTCCAGTGTGTGTGCGGTGGTGATTTTTCATGTTAGTAGACAAATAAGAAGTATAATTGCAGAATTCACAAATAAACAGACTTCTCTTCTTTGATGCAACTAGAGTTGAAGTTGTTTTAGAATTCCTGAAAATCGAAAAACCTGAAAGAGACTTATAAATTTTAATATTTTGAATTTAAGAATATTTCCTAGAAAAAAAGTACAAATACTAACACCATTAACAATGAGGTGAGAAATAACTAAGAAATACAGTTGAAGATATATTTTATTCAACTTTACTTTTAAGAAAGGCATGTTGTAAAATATTAAAAATATATATAGATTTTGATAGCTTAAATATAGTACTTAACAAAAACCTTTTAATAAATGTGTTCAGGTTAATATCATATTTATTTAAAACACATCGATAAAACATTTCAATAGTAATTTCAGTTACATTGTAAACAAATAAAAATATTGTTGAATTTACAAAAATAGTTAATATTTAATTACCTTTGCCACAAGAAGAAATAACTGGCAAGTATTTCGTCATATAAAAGTAGAAGAAATTACTTTGTCATATTCTAAACCACAGTAACAAGCTTATTTTAATACAAACTTTTTGTTTTACCTTTCAGAATAATAACACAAATATTTAAAAATATAAACATATTATTAAAAAAGAACACATAATATAGTTAAACAAATATTTATAATATACAAACAAAAAAAGTTCAGTCATCAAATTATAGCTTTGCAAACATATATTACGTAGCAAATCTTTTGTAACCTTTCACAAATATCAAGCAATTTTGCTCATATAATGACTGTTCAACTATAACCAATCTTCTTTCCGTAAAGCTAGAATAAAATTTTGAAAAATATACATTTGCAAATACACCCTACTTTGTCTTAAGTTAAAGTTTCACTGCATTATTGATAAAAAATGCAGTCGGCTTGAGTAGTGAATGATATGGAAAATCCCCAGTTTTCTCCAGAAAGTTATCTAGATTATAGTAAATTTAATAAAAAATTTAAATGTTAAAACTGTTAACGTATTTAGAAAAACGTAACACAAAAACCTACCTACTTTCATGGGTGCACACCTGAAAGTCTTGGCTCTCACAGTATTTAAAATTGTAGCAAATTGACAATTTAAGTTAGACATTATTTATTTAATTGTACCTGCACTTAAAAACTTGACTGCACTGTCATTTATAAATATATTTAAGTCCCTTGTATGAACCCCCTTCTAATGGATAAAAAATATTCTAAATGAAATAAATAATAAAATGTAAGAACATACCACCACTCTAAATACTCAAGGATATGCGGAGCTATGTACTTTTCACATTGATAAACAGCATTCATTTCAGAAAAAAAAATAATCTTGTATTTCTCAGAATTAAATTTTATTAAGTAGTCATTTCAGTTACTTTCTTTACAATTGGGTTGTAGTAAAATTGCTAATCATACAAGATAAATAAAATAAAAATTATAATAATCACTATAACAAAAAATATGCTTCATATTAAATGTATCGAATTGATAAGAAATATGCGATATGCTTTTTTATTTTAATTAAAATGCAGGATTTATAAGAAATATTGGATATTTTTTTTAAAATATAGGAACATTATAAGAAATATGGGGAACTTCTACCCCTGCATATTACCCAATTTTTTTTTCTCATACTAAGGATATTATGCTAAGTATAGAGTTAATTTAAGGAGAAACTATAAAACATATTATATTTAGGAAACAAGTAATAAAAGAAGGGATTGAGCAAGAGGCCGAACAGTCTTTCGAAATGTTGCAAAAATTCGTTGAAATTCGAAAACAGTTTATAAATTATAAGCACACAATCATTATCTTTTTTAATTATTATGTTAAGTTAAATGCATATTCATGAAAAAAAAATTTTAAATATCAATCTTTTTTAATATATTTACGCGTCATTCAAAATTGCAAAAAGCAACAACTGCCAACTGGGGTTGATTGCAAACATCATTATTTTAAGAAGTATTTATTGACATACAATTGCTTATAGCTCTCTTAAGTAGAATTAGCGTTTAACATAAAAGCTGTAAGCTGGTTTTCAAATTGCTTAGAACGAATGACAATTACTCACTATAGTCAACAAAGTATCCGAACTGCAAATTGCTGATTTACCGATTGATAGTTTATATAACCATGTTTGCAATTTAGGTGCAGCTGTGTAAAATGTAAACCCATTTAGGTAAGAAAAATCTCACCATAAAACTAAGAATATTTATAAACTAGTTTTTTTTACATGTTTACAGAAATTATTGGTTTTATAATATAATATATGAAATGAATTTCTTTCACAAATCAAACAATATTCTCGTGTTTTTTCTCTTCATTTTTGTTCTTTTTCTAGTACTATTTTTTGAAAAACTAACGCATTATTCTGACTTCCCCAGATTTCTAAAAATGAACAATGGAAAGAATATTGGACAGTTAATTAAAGCATCTAATTTTGCTGCTATTAAACATAAATCTCAGAAGAGAAAAGATGTGGAGGGAACGCCTTACATTAATCATCCAATAGGTAATTTTAGATCCTCAACTTAGCAGCAACAACTGAATAGCTCATTTTCTGATTACAAAATTTAATTGTGTTGGTTAAATGATTTTTTTTTTTCTTTATAGGAGTGGCTAATATTTTAGTTGAAGAAGGGGAAATATATGACATCGATGTATTGCAGGTATATACTTTTAATAAATACAGAATTTAATTTTTTTTTTTTTTACTTACTGTGTGTAACAAGTCTTGGTACCTTTCAGTTAGCTAGACGTTCATAGAATCAAATCTTTTTTTTTTATTTCATTTTTGTGGCAACTTTTCAAATAAAAGTGTTGAATTTGCTTGGTCCTGCCAGACGGCGAAAAGTTTTTTTGATTTTTCTTTATCTGTATGTATGTTGAATTTAAATTAGATTTACAGATATTAAATAGATAAATTTAAACTGGAATGAATCCATATGTGTGTTAAGCTTAAATACAAAAAAACTATTATAGCTGTGTATATTGATTTCATTCCTTCACAAAGCTTAAGTCATGCATGGCGAAAAATATTACATTATATGAATTCTGTTTAATTTCACTTATTAACACAACATTATGAAAAGGAAGCAAACAATGAAGAGTTTCTCCCCCCCCCNTAATAATTGAATTTTTTTTTTTTTTAATTTCCTAATTATATGTATTTTCCTTTTATGAAGTTTTAGTTTTACAAAGTAACTGGTGATATATAATCTTCATATAGCGAAGAGCTTTTCATAAAATATTTTAAAAATAATTATTTACTTTTTACTCATTTTATTGGCATAGACTCTTTGCTATTTATTTCACAAATTTAGTATTAAAACTATTTTTTTTGTACATAATTTTTGACAAAAAATACTTATTATTTAAATTCAATGGTTTAGCTTTTTTAAAAAGTAATTTTAGTATTTGTTTAGAGCACTATTGCTCTATCTAATCTTAATTTCATATCATATTTACATAGTTCATAGCTATGAATTTAAAACAACTGAAAATTATTCATGAAAAAAAATAGTTTTGATTTTTTATGCAAGGTTGTTGTTTTTTATTTCAAAATTTAAATACATTAAAAATTAAAAAATTAAGTTTAAAAATAAATCTTATTTTTATTGTATTGGTAAGTAACAACATAATGCATTGTATTTCCATTTCAGGCTGCATTACTTCATGNTTTTTTTTAGCCTTCAAAATAAAAGTGTTGAATTTGCCTGGTCCTGCCAAATGGCAAAAAAAAATTTTGATTTTTCTGTATCTGTATGTATGTTGAATTTAAATTAGATTTGCAGATATTAAATAGATAAATTTAAACTGGATTAAATCTATATGTGTGTTAAATTTAAATACAAAAAAACTATTGTAGCTGTGTATATTGATTTCATTCCTTCACAAAGCTTAAGTCATTTATGGCAAAAAATATTACATTACATGAATTCTGTTTGATTTCACTTATTAACACAAAATTATGACAACGAAGCAAACAATGAAGAGTTTCTCTCCCCCCCCCCCCTAAACAAATTTATTTATTTTTTGTAATTTCCTAATTATGCATTTTCCTTTTATGAAGTTTTAGTTTTACAAAATTACTGGTGATATATAAGTGAAGAGCTTTTCATAAAACATTTTAAAAATAATTATCTACTTTTTACTCATTTTATTTGCATAGACTCTTTGTTATTTATTTCACAAATTTAGTATTAAAACTATTTTTTTTTTTACATAATTTTTGACAAAAAACACTTTCTATTCAAATTCAATAATTTAGCTTTTTTAAAAAGTAATTTTAGTATTTGTTTAGGGCACTATCTAATCTTAATTTCATATCATATTTACATAGTTCATAGCTATGAATTTAAAACAACTGAAAATTATTCATGAAAAAAAATAGTTATGATTTTTATGCAAGGTTGTTGTTTTTTATTTCAAAATTTAAATACAAGATTTTAAAAATTAAGTTCAAAAATAAATCTTATTTTTATTGCATTAGTAAGTAACAACATAATGCAATGTATTTCCATTTCAGGCAGCATTACTTCATGATACAGTTGAAGATACTGACACTACCTTTGAGGAAATTGAACAACAATTTGGTGTCAAAATTCGCAACATTGTTGCTGAAGTAACTGATGACAAAACACTATCCAAAGAAACAAGAAAACAACTTCAAATTGAACATGCTGCAACAATTTCTCATGAAGCTAAATTAGTGAAACTTGCTGACAAATTATACAACTTAAGAGATTTATTACGCTCAACTCCTGTTGGTTGGACTGAAGAAAGAGTGCAAGGTTATTTTGTATGGGCATCTCAAGTGATACAAAATTTAGCTGGCACAAACGATAAACTCGAATTAAAATTAAAAAAACTATTTGAAAGCAGAGGTATCAATTTTAAATGATTAAATGACTTTATAATTTTACTTCTTTGTATCAGCTGATCAGCTCAAAATTAACTAAAAAACCATATTTTTTCAATTTTTCCTTTTTTTTTCTATTCAAAAAAGCTTCAAAATGAAAGATGCAAAATTAAGAAGCATGTTTGATACTGTTTATTGGTATTATGAACAAATACCAATATACAGTATATTAAAAGTTGGCATCTTTTTATTTATTTTAAACTTTCACTGGTTCCTGAACAAAGAAATGAGATCAAATACAATCCTTACTTCCAAACCCTAAAAGTTAAAGTGACTTCCAGAAAGTGCCATTTTTATTCAATTCTCCAAATTTTAAGTTACATTTTTTATGCATAAATGTTTATCTTGCTCCTTTTTTTTGTATATTATTCATTAACTTGAATAACAATAAATATTTTGTAATATTTTTTGTCATTTCATTTTATATGAATAGCATGTAGAAAATTATTTTGACGCATCCCACTTCTCGAGAGAAAATTATTTTTAAATAAGTATTACAGATTATCTCTAAAAGATACGATAAATAAAAAGAACTGTGTTCAATTAAAGAGTACTTTTTGAAACTATCAAATTAAAACAGCAAAACAAATTTCTTAACAGCTCAATATGTTGTCTCAGGGTGCGTAGCCAAATCTTTGAATCAAAAATAAGCACTTTTTAAAAACTTTTCAAGCACTCAAAAAATTCATATTGAATCAATATTATTGAAAAACAAAAACGTTTTGCGAATAGTTTTAGCATTAAAAAAAAAACTCAAAAAGAAACTGACGTAAATCGAAACAATCAGTACTTTCCCACATCACCGAGTGAATTCAACTTGACTCTGAACTCAGAACAAAAGTACCCTTACCCCCTACATCAAAAAAGTGTTAGAAGTAAAATAAAATAAACAAGAATAAAATTATAAATTAAAAAGAAAAACATTTAATAAGGATCTGACTCTATCCGAATTGGAGCACTCGGGTTTCAGTTTTGAGTGTGCGCGCATGCGCAAGTCATAATGTGGGTACGACATGAAGTCCGTGTGAATGATTACATAGCAAACACCCCATTTTTTGTGAAATGCAGGGGATCCGCCAGATATCACTGAAGGAAGAAGAAAAAAAATTTGTGAAAAAAAAGCACTTTTTAAAAATGCCAGCTGAAAAAAGCACCTTAAAAAGCTTTTAAAAACAAAATCTCTCAAAAAGCAACTTTAAGTACTTTTTACAAACTCTACGCACCCTGTATTTACTAAACTTTACAATCATGCAACTAAGATATATATTATTCAGACATTAATTTTAGATTTTAAATAAATAGGAAAAAAGAAAATATCTATCATACCTTCCTTTTAATGATATTGAAAAAATACCTTCATTTTATATTCAATTTAAAATCAAATCTCCATTACATTAATGGGATAAAACAGTAAAAAAAGGAAGAAAAAAATTATTAACATGTATCTGGTTGGTGTGATGCAGAAAAACAATGGTGTAGTAAATGGATATATATCTCTTTAAGAGGGACTGAATTAATTCATATGCATTAATTCACATTTACACACAAAAAATTTAAACTAAGCATATATAATATTGCAGTCTGTATTGCAGGCATAATATTGGAGAACTAAAGTATTAACGTACTGGTATAATGCTTCATTATAATTTAAAAATTAATAGCTAAAAGAATACCCCAAGTCTGAGACAGGCACCTAAAAGTTCTAACTCTTCTTCATACTAGATTTTATTTAATATGTTTAGACTAGAGAAATTTTTTAATACTGTTTTTCTGGTGTAAAAGGTTTACAATATAATAAATACTTGTGCTTCTAGCATTTATGATTATGTATCCAGTTTTTGAGGAGTACTAAATTAAAATATACTATCACACAAGTTCTCTAAATTTTACACATAGAAAAATTATTCTTCGATTTGCTAAACATCTGCAAAAAGATCACTGTTTTTTATTTCGCTTTAAAATCGATGTTAATTTATGAACATTTTCTTTGTCTGAAATATTGTGGGGGACTTTAAAAGATTTCTAATTATAGAGATGGCATTTACTCACCGTCCTGCCAAGGACGTCTATGATAATGTGTAAAATAGAAGCAAAAGTTCTTATAGAAAATCAAATAAAATGCAGACACAAATAATGATAAGTTTTATTTAAAAACATTTTAGGAACTTGCACACTAACTCCTAAAATTGCAACAATTTTAAGTACACTATTTCTAATCAAATATAAGCACTAAAATGATTAATATTGCTCATCTATGAAAACTTCATATTTCAAAGAATATTTTTGCTATATACACTTATAGTCTGCTCAGTAAATGAGCTCTTAATCGTGAAGGAAAAAAAATTATATTGAACACAATAACTACACTGGTACATCTTTTTAACTTTCGCTGGAGAAACATTTGAATTGCTATAAATCCTAGTAAATTTTATAACACCAATGGCACCTTTTGAAAGATCGAGATCACAATTTTTAAAAAATGGCAGCATTTGCATTCATATGTAATAAATATTTATGTATTTATTTTACCAATCATCAACATCAGCAATAATGTATTCATTTTAACACTATAAATTAAACACTCACGTAAAAAAAATTTATTGCATTTAAGTGCTTTTGACAAAATCAGTTTAGAATCTAAATGATCTAAAGAAACTGTTAAGTAAGTAAACATCTCCCTTCATTGAAAATTACCTTGTTTAAAGACTTGGCAGATTGAGTTACTGACAGCAGATCATAAAATGTTTTTGATAACAAAATTTCATTCTTTAATTTTTAAATTGTATTCTAGTTATTTTTTACTATCTATAAAATTATAAACAAATAAAGTTTTAATCTTTGTTTTTAAAAAAAAAATTTCAAACACATTATTTTAATAAATGAGAGAAGCAAATTATGCAATATTAAAAATGAGCATGTTGCTTTAAAACATACTCATTTTGCTCAAAAACGTAGCTCTAAAATGTTTGTTATTTAAAAGAATTAAAACACTTAGGATTCTTTACTTATTATTAATAGATAAGATTTTGCATTGATAAGAAAGAGAGAAACTAAATTATTGATCCTGATCTTTCAAAGCATGCTTACAATTATAATGAATACAATTCTTTCCAGAACTTTAACGAGAAGAAAATAAAGTTCATTTGACCTTAACTTATGGAAGAAAGAAAGTTTATACAAATCATTACAGCGAAGGTAAAATCTGTTAATTTCCAAATATCATTTCTGGTGAGGCTCTTTTACATTCATCATTACTCTCTCAAATGAGCAATATGATAACAGTTTACATGCTGATGTTCTAAAAGTGGCACTTTGAGTTTGAATTAAATGAGCAATCCAGGTTCGAATATTATTATACATTTAAAATTTACATTATACATTTTTTTAACATTTAGTTTGGTTCCATTTTCATAAGTATTTGATTTTTTATGAATTTTAGAAACTTGATTCGTAAATTAATTCGAAACTTAATTCGTAAATTTTCATCCTGTTTGTAATAAAATTCACCAAAAATCCAATTTTTACGATACTTACAAACTTTTTAAGTAATAAAATAACCCTCTGTTAGCCATCAAATTCAAAAAAAAATTTTAAGAATTTTAAAGTCAAAATCTTAGTTTAAAGCCAATGTTCAATTTTTGAAACATTAGTGTCTCAAGGGTTCTATTTTCAAATAATTCATTGAGTAATGTTGTTTTCATTTCATTCAATTGATATTATGACACTTATTCAAGATAAATAATGAATGTAAAAAGGGATGAATATATTTAGGTTCAACTTCTTTTGACATGAATTTTCCATTCTCTGTCTGTAGAAAAATGTTTTTAAAAGTAATATTGCAGGAGATGAAGTGGAAAATCAAATTCTAGAGTCAAGGGGGTAATAAGAAACATAAAAGTGAAAGTCCAGTTATAAAATCGAGTTAGAAAGTGAAATTTGATAAGCCGACATTATTTGAAAAAACTGGAGAAAAAAATTTGCAAACATTTCATTAATGTTCATTGTGCTCCTTTTGACATTTTTCATAAACTATTCTGGGTGAATATTTAGAATATTTCATCAATATATTATCATTTTAAGCCTTTAAAAAAGTTTAAACTATTAATGCATTTCCTAAAATAATATTTTACATTTTCACAGACTTCTAAGAGAATAACATTTTGTTCCGACTGAAGGTGTGAACTGAATCGCAGCTGATATGACCAAAGTCAGTAAAAAATGCCCTTGCCAATCTTCCAATAAATGGAACATTGTTAAAAACCCAATTAAATTTTTCTTCACTCAATTTTTTTTTATTTTGTTGTGTTTAGATCCGCATAAGTAGTAAATTAATCAAATTTCACGTTTTTTGGTTTGCCTTTTATTAATTCAGTATTTAAACAGTTAATCAGTATACTGTGAATAATCCTTTTTCCATGCAAATTTAGTTACTTGTATGTGTAATAATATGTGTCTGAAAATATATGCTACTGTATACTTTGAAAAATTATACAGAAAAACAGCAAGTAGGAATTATGTATATCATTAAGCAGATTAAAGATAGCTGTAAAATTTAATTTTAAAAAAAAAATAATAAAATTCTATCATTAAAAAACATTATATTAACAATTCTTTTTTTTTCCTTAAAAAATAAATGAAAAACATTTTTGACTACAGCACATACTACGAACATGAATTACTACCATTCTTTTATCAATTCCAACATGAAAATTGTATAGCATTAATCAAAACTAATGTCTACTTTTTTGTATTATTATGCTACACAAATATATCAGATTACTCATTATTCATGATTTGTTTCCTTGAAATTTATGCAGCTATAATTTGCATAATTCAAATTGATTATTTACAATTTATTTTTTTTGATCAAATTTGCAGAAAATTAATTATAATATACAGAATCAGTTTCATTGAAGCATTTGTCTGAGAAACTGATAATTTCTGAACTGCAAACAAAGCAATAGCACAAAAAATTACCAAGGAAAAAAAGTTGCAAGAGAAATATTTATTAAAGAAACACTGCTTTGGGGAAAAAAATCATAAATACGCCAAAATTTAAAAACAAAAATTTTATTAATATATCATGTAATAACACTTTTAACTGTGCATTTGAAATTTAACTTTCTACAAGTTGAAAAAACAAATTAAGAAAAGTGATATTCTGATAATTATCTTCATAAAACGTAGATGAAGAGAAAAAAAATCAAAATTAGGCTTACAATTGTTTTGTTTTTTTTTAATTGCATGATTAAAAGCGTAGATGCGAATTTTAAATGTTCTGGAACCACATTTAAAATAAATATATTTTCAAAATTATACAATTCTACGCATGGCTTCAATTGTACAAAGTAACTTTCATATTATTGCTATCAGCAGATCTTGAGAAATAACAAATTATGTATTAAAAAAGCTATCATAATACAAAAATCTCTGAAAATTTGACTAAAAATTAAGAAAAATAAACTTTATTTAAAACAACAAAAGATCTTGTAAAATTAAATTACATAGATTTATCTTCATTATTATTTTACAGTCTTAAATAAAAGTGAACACAGTGTATCAATAAAATTTGTAGGTCAACTATTTAAAAAAAATTTCCCATAAATTTCATTAAGCGGAAATGTTTTAATACTGCTTTATAATATAAAATCTTAATTAAATAATTATTGATCAATGTATATTTTTCACTTTTGCAGATACCAGAGATCGAGTAAGGCCAAAAATCATTCCAGTACTTTCTTTAAAATAGGCTGAGATAGCCATTATTTAAAATCTGTGATTATTTCTTATAATAATTTTGTATGAAAAGTTATATTTCATGCATTAAATCTTGATACAAAAGAAAATAATAAAATAGAATAGAAATCATGAAATTTAATTATAATTTACTTAACAAAATCTGTTTGTTTTGTTTTTAATACTTTTAATTCTATTTTTGAAAAGAACAGCATATAATACAAGGTTTCCAATTTTGTAAAAAATTAGAACATAAATTTAGCTTTCAAATCATGTTAAATTTCTCTATTAAAAAAAATAATTAAAAACATTTAATAACCAAATGAACCAATTTTTAGTCGACTACACCATTTGAAATTGAGAAAATATGTTTTCCTTCAAAAAAATTGAGAATATTTTAATCTTAAAATAATTTATAAAATAAGAAAGGTTTGGTCATTTTAACATAGGTTGAGATAGAACATCTAAATACATTTAAGTATAGCAAATTTAAATAAATATATATATATATAAAAGAGATATACTTATATGGCACAAGCTGGGATTGAACTTAGATTAGTAGTTAGATCTTCTAAATCAGAAACCTTTACAAGGTGAGTTCAAATACTTAATTTAGAACCCACTGTTGAACCACACTGATTTAAATTTAGATATCTAAGGTTAAATTCTGTTCTATGGTTTATCAATAGCAAATATACAATAGCATCAAACAAATTACTGGTCTGTTGAAATATTATTAATAGGACTTTTCATCTTGACATGCTGTACCATGTGATTTTTCATATTTTGTTTTTGAATGAAACCCATTCCACAAACAGAACAAGTAAAAGGACGTTCTGTTGAATGAGTCAACATATGATGTTTATAGTTTGTACTTATGTTTGATGAATATGGACAGTGAGGACAATTAAACTTGTTGTCTTGCTTACTAAGTTTTCTCAGACTTTTGGTAACAATAAGGCTTATATATGATTCAGGGCCTCCAAAAAGCTTGAATTGATTATTAGGATTTCCTAAAAAGAGAAGAAAAAAAATTACATATTTTAAGAATGAAACATAATTATAATTTTTTTACATGTGAAATGCAATATTTAAAGTTAAACTTTAAAATAGTTTCTTTTAACACAAAAAGGTTTATTTTTAAATTTAATTTAAAAAATATATTGTAACAAAAATATTTTAAGCCATATTGAATTATAATATGAAGAACTACGTAAAATTTGTCACAGAAAGAAAAATAACATATGAAACCAAAAGAATTACTTTTATATTTTTCACAGGTTCATTTTACATTATTGGTACTTTGTTTGTTATCATACCCTACTTTATTCTAACATTATTATATTTCTAAAAGAATAGTATAATTTAAAAATTTGCAATAAAATAAGAAAGAAAAAAGGATTTTCCAGAGGAAATGATGTGATTAAGAAAAAAAATTACGTTTAAAGTATATTTACATATTTCATAGCTTTATAATCCAAGATACTAATATAGTGAAATTTTCCATTTCATTACAAGACTAAGTGTTCAATATTACGCTATATTTAATCATTGTTTGTGGCTATCCTATTACTTGTATATATAAAAAACATATTGCATACACTACAACATCCAATTTGCTAGTATCACCTAATCTCAGATATTTCAATTTCTACCAATCTGCTGCGAAACAAACACTGTGACTAAGAGATTTTTCTTCCTCTTTGCACAACTGCCAAAAAGAAAGAAACATGCATATATAGAAGAAAAATTGAAACTCTTTAGCCCTGATTGCACAAGACATTTGATGAAACAGACTACTTAAATATGTTCCTTAACATGAAACTGCTCATAGTAAGTTTTTAAAACAAAATTTACGAAAAGTATAATTTTAAATAACAAAAATTAATACCATATGTTATTAAAATTAAAAGCAACATATTTATTTTTATAAATTAAGAACAACATTAATTATAATTATACTACTTATAAAATGTTATTCAAATATGTTTCTGGAAAACATGCATTACTAAGTTCACTAATTTGCGCAATTTATTTGCACATATTTGTTTGATCACCTATGTTGGTTTATATTAAGCTTTGATGCATAAAAATATTTATTTGTGCTTATTGATACAAAATTTAGATTTGTTTTAAAAAGTAATATAGAATTAACTAGTTTAAAATAATGTAATTTGAATGAAAAATATTTACATGGAAATATTATAGAACATACAAAAAATAGAATAGAACATATAAAATGTGCATAGTTAGTATTAAAATGTATAGATCATACTGTAATATTTTCAAGTTTAAACAACACCTGATACTATCATTCTAAACATATTCGCATACAGAAAACATAAATGAAGAGATGAGTGTTTTAAAACAAAACCTTTAAAAACTGGAGTAGTTTGTTCAATTGTGAAAATGAAATGTTATGTTGCCACCTAAGAGTAGCTTCTGTTGTTAAAACTTTATTACCTAATTAATATCTGCAGTATGGCCAAAGAATAACAATAATTTTATGTTAAGAAATACATGTTTATAATAACATTATCTATTAAATAAAAAATTAGATAATTTATAAAAAATATTAAACTAATGAAGGAGTAATATTCTTTTTAATTTGATGAACAGGAAATCTATCATAATAACTGAGTAATAATTGAACATATTTTTATAGACCAATAAACATACATGATTTTCTTAAAGAATAAATTATGGATGCATTTTACAGTTAACTGCATGATTTATATTTCATTATATTAAAATAATTTATCAGCACTATTATGCATCAATAGGAAATTATAAATTTTCCGAATAAAGACACTGGAATAAAAATAGCCATTAAAAATATAGTGTAATTATATAACACTAAGCAATAAGATAATTTAAAAATAAATAATAATATATCACGTTATCTATAATTAAAAAAACTCTACTGGTAATTAATCTTATCAATAAAATTTCATTTATTGCACTTATTAAAAGATAAAAAACATTTCAATTTAAATAAAACCACAACTAATTATAAAATTAACAAATTCAGTTCATTTCATACAGCATAATTGACAAATAAAGTTTCATAAATAAATATTTTAATAAAAAAATTTACTTTAAATAAAAATATACAGTGTAAAAATTAATAAGTTATTTTAACTAATGGAAATTTAACTATAAGATCATTAAGACTAACAACTAATTCATTAGTATATACAAAGAAGAAACAACTCTAAAATAATCAATTAATTTTTCTGCACACTCTTTAACTGTAGATTACGAACTCTAGAGTGGAATGATATTGTTTTTCTGTGTAACAAATTAGGTTTCTTTCGTACTATTGAAGAAAAAAAAATTTATGTATGAAAATGAGATTTTTGAACAGAAAATTATTAAGATGTTATATAAAAACTGATAAAATATTATAAACATAAAAAAATTATAACCAATACTACTAAAATAACTATTAATTCAAATTTGAAAAAAAATGTTTGAGTTCATTAATTCTTAATGGTTAATAGGGTAAGATGCATTTCAAAGAATATGCTGATTATCATTGATTAAATCATTGACCATTAAAAAGATATGTAAAATATAGCATTAAGAGATACTTTCAATAAATCTAAAATTGTTTATTCTCAATAGTTACTTCAAATTCCTTTCTACAGTAAAAGTTCATTATAACAAAAACTCACACTAGCAGGCGGAATTATTTTTATAAGCAAAACTACATTTGATTTTAAGTTAGCTGTGAAAAAAGCTAAATGAAGAAATGAAATGCAATGGCTTTTGAAGTCCCTAAAAAACTGAATTTTGATTTCAATTGAAGCTGCCAAAAAGGAAAATTAGTATGCGGTCAACGACGGCACATTATTTTGAAATTATAGATAGAATAAATACACAAAAATCCCTAGATTTAAAGCAGCCATGACAAAATGTTATAACTTTTAAGTCTTGTAACTAAAAAAAAAAAACACTTTTTTTTTAAAAATTTATTCAAAGTTTATTAAAAATAAACATTAAACAAAATATTATAAGAAATGTAATATTTTAAAAAATTAATAAACAATTTTAATGAAAATATACAAATTTTATTAAAAATGTATCGACTTATGTAACGTTACTAAATTATTCCTGCCTTTATGATTTTTACAATACTTTACATTGCTTACCTACCATAAATGCTTATCAATTTATAACAACAATTTGTTTTTAGCATAATCAACAATCTTTTTAAGCAAAATTAGGAATCTTCATGTCTTCACTGCATGTTTTTAAAATATTTTTGCAAAAACTATGCTTAGGTGCAAAATGAAAAACAGAACACCAAAAACTTTTGAACTAATGATGGGATTTTTTTGCACTAAATATGTAATCTTAATGTTTTCACGAATTGACTTTAAAATGTTATTTAGTTTAATCAGGCAATATTTAAAGCAATTAAATCAAACACAAAAGCTTACTTTCTCTGAAATACCTTTTTCTTTTTGGCTAACTTTATCCCAATTTTTTTCCTAATATTCTCTGATTATACATTTTTTACAACAAATTGAGATGTTTTAGCAACAGGTAAAATATGATCCTGACACCCGGTGGCTGAGCGGTAGCGCTTCGAGCTGTCATGCCACAGGTCCTTGGTTCGATCCTCGGGCCGGGCAAGGCTGACTCAGCCTTTCATCCCTTCAGTGGGTCGATAAATGAGTACCAAACATGCTTGGGAATTAAACACTGGGGGTTCCGCGTTCAGCTGACCACCTAACCAGAAAATCTGCTCCTGCACCCCAGAGCCCAAGTTCAAGAAAACTGAGATGGGCACAGTAGACCTTGGCCCTCTATGGGCTGTAGTGATGCTGAGTTTTAAAATATGATCCTAATATTTTGGTTATGAGAGTGATAAACACTTTGGATCCTTTAATGTTATTTTCACTTCTAAAATGCTGAATAGACAATCAAACCAAAAGTCATATTTTTAAATACTCATTTATTAAAAACTATTTGACCAATTCCATTAAAAAAATTTCACTTAAAATTACATAAAATTAGAGTGATGAAAAAATTTTAATATCTCGTAATCCACAGATGTTTTGGACAATTATTAATATAAATAATAAAAAATATTTATATATATATATTTTTTTTTTGCAGAATTTTCTTTGGATAAATGAATTTCATAATTGTGAGCAAAAACTACTTGATTCAGAAGTATAGTATGCACCATTTCAGAGGTATGGTGAAATTAATATGAAAGATCGCAAAATTTCGACTGCTCTTACCCCTGAACTTACCCCATGTTTTTCAGATTGAGGTGTAATGCTCACATTTTAAAGATCAAATATCCTAATCTGTTGAAGAAAAAGATGTGCTTATTAAAAAAAGCACATTTCTATACCTGATTTCTTAATTTTAAATATCCTCTGCATAAATTGAGTGGCATAGCAAATTTAAGATTATATTCTAGAATCATTACAATTGCATCTTAGTACGTGAAAATTTAATCATTAGATCAAAAGTTATAAAGATATTCCGTTTTTCATTTTGCGTAATGTATTGTATTTTATTGACAAAAATATTTATGAGATTCAAAATATTTATTAGTTAAATGACAACCAACGAATAACTATATGAAGCGCATAAGTCAGTACATTTATAACAACTGTATTATATGCATAAGAATATGAGTATAAAAAAGATTTTCTGAATACATTGATGAATATTTTATATATAAAACAACATTTGAAATGTAACTGTATTACCAAATATTTGTTTAATAATTTCAATGTGTTATTTGAATGACAAGTGTTCAACTTGTCTTTATAATGTCATTTAATATCAAGTGCTCAATATCACACCTATTTTACTAAATCAAAAACAATTGCAACATGACAATTGCAATACAATTGTAACATGATCACAAATATTTACTCATAATTAATAAATAACTAATTGAGACAAAACTATGGAATATTTTAGGAACAATAAAGAAACTGGCAGAATATTTGCTATAATAATTCAAATATTTGATAAAATATTAACAGTAGTATAATTTTCATTCTTACATCAATTAAAAGATCGTTATAATCATAAAAAAATTAACACACTAGCACATTATTCCTAGATAATTAAAAAGACTTCTGATATTTCTTACATATCAAGTAATACTGAATTGAACTCAATGAGCAATACAAATGACTCAGTAATAAATGAATATAATCATTACTCAATAAATTTAACAAAAATAAGTGCACAATTTTTAAAATTTAAAAGAATGAAACATAGGTACCTCTATACTAAAAATTATACAAAGAAATTTCCTTTTTTCACACTATTATTCAGCTATCTAAAATATTTAATTTTGTGTTAATCAATTATTTTTCTAAGATTTAAAGTTGTGTTTAAACTTTTAAAGCATTTATAGATAATTCATAACATGAAATAATTATAGTTTCAAACAGTTCATACATACAGTCATTACAAAGATCTAAATATATTTCTCGATTCCTCAAATCCCAAAAGCCCGAATTCGTTCATCCACATGTAAAAAAAAAAAAAAGATAACACATTTCATTAAACTATAAATACTCACATAATCACAGTTCTTTGAAATTAATTCGACATAATCTAACGCAACGACCACGTAATTCTCATGCTTAAAAGGAAAAACATAGAATAATATTAAAATTAATTTTACGACTATTGCAATCACAATAAAATATATATATATATACACATATAACCAGCAGAATAAAAGAATGACAACATGAAATCCTTTTAAACCCCCAGAATGTACCAGCTTTTAAAACACAATATTGCTACTAAATTATAAAAAAAAAATATGCCACATATATAAGCGA